ATGATGGATAGATGATGGATAGATGATGGATAGATGATGGATAGATGGATAGATGGATTGATGGATTGATGATAGATGGATAGATGATGGATAGATGGATTGATGGATTGATGATTGGTAGATAGATAGATATCTAGATAGATAGATAGATAGATAGATAGATAGATATGATGATAGATGGGCAGACAGACAGATGATTATAAATGATAGATGATACATAAATAAATGATTTAGAGATCTATGTAGAGATAGATAGAAGATAATAAGTGAAATATACATAGATAAATGATAGATGATAGACAATATAGATAAATGATATATAATGATTGCTAGATGATAGATTAGACAGATAGATTAGACAGACAGACAGACAGACAGATAGATAGGTAGACAGACAGGCAGGTAGACAGATAGGTAGACAGACAGGTAGACAGATAGGTAGGCAGGCAGACAGACAGACAGATAGACAGACAGACAGATAGGGCTAGTCCTTCTGACTCCCAGCTCCCTCTGGCATTCTTCCTTGCCTGGGGGCCTGCAGCTTGTGCTCACTGTGTGAACCTAGGTGTGCCTCATGATAAAGCACTGTTTAGCTACTCTCCAGCTGCTCCTCTGTTGCCTTCTTGGGCTCATTGGTACCTGGGTCATTATTTAACCTTGGCAGATTGTCCTTCTCACTTCACCCCCAAGAAAGCAAGGAAGTGCAGATTCTCAGTCAAGTAAATGCTCACAACCTTTTGTTTCTTTCTTCTCCTAGAACCTCGCTCCATGGCAGAACCAGGTAAAGATCACTTCAGCTTTAACTTATTAATAAGTGTGAATGGTTTGAGATAAATGCCCATGGAAATATGTTTCACTCTAGAGTGAAAAAAATTTTTTTCTAGAAAGATCAAAACAAATGGCAGCTGTTGTTGTAGAAGAGGGAAGGAGGGGGCATGTTCGAATTTGCATATGAATTCAACACCTGATATAATTATAGGGTTTTTATGGTTTCCTGGGGATCTTTTTCCTCTCACCGTTACTTCCACTCATTTCACGCCCTCCTCAAAACTGGGCTTGGAATTTCCTTGATGGCAGGTCAAGTCCAATCCCACAGCCTTTGTGTCTCAACCTTAATGAACGAAGCTGGCACTGTCGATAAGTGAGAACACTTGGCTAGCTTACCCAAAGCCATGGGCTTGATCCCCAGTACCAGTCCAAAGAAAATAAAGAGACAATTCATAGATCAGACTCAGAAACTTCCAGAGGCTAAGTAAAGTGCGTTCCTTGATTTGGTTTTGGAAATAGAAGTGAGGGCCATGAAGCATTCGCCTGTAGGCAATGTGAGCCGTTTATAAATCGGAGCACTCAGGCTGCCTCTGTAACCACATCTGTGAGGAGACTGCTGGCAGTTCCATTACAATTCTCCCCTCACAACAAAGGCGTTCCAGAAGTAAGCTTGGAGCAGATCTACACTAGACCACAGGGCATAAAAGACAAGGATTCTTTCTCCCAAGGAGTATCCAGTGTTGTCTGCCGTAGACTCCTGGGAAACTCTTCGGGATCAGTGGTTTTCAACCTTCCTCGAGCTTGGACTCTTTAATACAGTTCCTCATGTTGTGTTGACCCGCCCCCAACAACATAAAACTATTTTTCTTGCTACTTTATAACTGTAATTCTGCTACTGTTATGAATCGTAATAAAAATATCTGATCTGCAGGACATCTGATATGTGACCCCGTGAAAGGGTCATTAGACCCCCAAAGGGGTCGTGACCACAGGTTTAGAACCACATTCTAGAGGGAGCTAGTTGACTCACCTCAGTCATCACAGAGTCCTGAGAAGCCAAGCTTCCCCAGCTGCAACTGCTTCCGTGATTTCGTCCTAATGACCCTGCTCCTCTTTAGTTGTCAAAGAATATCTGCCTGTATTGATTTTAGGCTCCAGCCGTGTGTGAGAACTCCCTGGACCATCACTCCCAGGACTGCGTGTTATAGCTGCTCCACAGGAGTGACTATGGCTTACAAAGGGAGGCGCCCTTAGCTCTCTCACCTGGAATTTCTATTCTCCATCAGCCAATTGCTACTACTTAAACAAAGCGTTTATTGACAATCAATAGCAATCCAATTTTTGTGCTAGTGGGAATCAAACCCAGCACCTCCCGCATGTTAGGTACGAACTCTTCCACTGAGATATACCCCAGCGCTTCTGCCCAATTTTAAAGTTTGGCCTATGTTTAAGATTATCTCTCGGTGAAATTTCCCCACGAAAATAATGAGAGACTGGGGTTTGGAAAACTGTTTCATGAGTTTTTCCTTTTCACACACACTTCCTTTCCCTTCCATCTTGCTTCACCCTGGCTGGCCAAGGTTGTGGAGGGTAAGGTAAGGAGAGCCGGGCAAGCCCGAGCTGGACCTTTTGGGGATGTAGCTCAGTCGCTAGAGGGCTGCCTGAGTGTGCTGTGTGACACATTGTCACAAACCCTTCCTGTCCTGCTGGCAGAGGAGATCTGCACCCTGGTCATCGCCGAAGTGTTTTCCGAAGACTCTGGGTGTTTCACGTGCACCGCGAGCAACAAGTACGGCACGGTGTCCAGCATCGCACAGCTGGACGTCAGAGGTGAGTGCTCCTTGGCACTGAGTGCTCCCCAGTGAGGAGCCCGACAGTGTGAACTTCAGCCACCTTTCCTTCCGGATTCACCCGTGAAGCATAAAGATTTAAATCAGGCCCTGGAGAAATGACTCGGCCATTAAGAGCCCTGGCTATTCTTCCAGAGGATCAACATCCAACACTCACAAGGCAGCCTCACCACCGTCTGTAATCACCAAGCCTGGTGGTGCACACCTTTAACTCCACCACTCGGGAGGCAGAGGCAGGTGGATCTCTGTGAGTTCGAGGCCAGCCAGAGCTGGTGAGAAGATGGATAAACAGATGAAGGTACCTCCCACCAAGCCTGATTAGCTGAATTCAGTCCCCGAGACCCACACGGTGGAACAACACTGGTTCCTGCAACTTGACCTCTGACCTCCGCCCTTGTGCCTTGGCGCACCTGCATGAGTGTATGTACTCATGCACAAAAATAGAATAACAACAACAACAACAACAAGAAAATGTTCCTGGGGCTGGAGATCAGAGTTCAGTTGGTAAAGTGCTCGCCTAGCACGAATGAGCCCTGGGTCCCTTTCTCCAGCACTGCATAAACCAGGCATGGTGGCACATACGGATAATCCCAGCACTGGGCACACGAAGGCAGGAGCCTCAGGAGTTCAAGGTCACCAGCCACAGAGGGAGTTCAAGGCCAGCTTAGGAGAAAGGAGACCCTATCTTAAAAAAAAAAAAAAAAAAAGTTGATGAGCAATGTCCAGTTTTCGAGTTCTTATTTCACTTACAACCACAATCTATTCAGTGACCCTGCTGTGACATCATACTTTCCGAGAAAGCATCTCCCTGGCCTTACTCCCTGGCCTTAAACTTCTCAAATTCTCTCTCTCTTTGTTGTTGTTTCTGGTTTTTCCAGACAGGGTTTCTCTATGTAGCCATGGCTGTCCTGGACTCACTTTGTATGCCAGGCTGGCCTCGAACTCACAGAAATCTGCCTGCTTCTGACTCCCTGAGTGCTGGGATTACAGGCGATGGCCACCGCACCCAGCTCAACTCTCAAATTCTTAAAAGCACTTCAGGGAGCTGGAAGATAGTCCAGTAGGTGCAATGCTTCCTTCACAGACTCTGGTACCCTGGAGTTCAGTGCCCTGAATCCATGTACAAAAGGCAGGCACAGTAGCCTGTGCTTGTAATCTCTGCACTGGGGCCAAAAAGATGGATCCTTGGAACTCTTCACAAGCACACACACACACACACACACACCCCACACACAACGCTTAG